ACAAACACAAAATAAATAAGTGTGAAAACATGTAAAAACAATAAAAATGACAGACGTAGTGGCTTATACCTCTAATCCCAGCATGCAGTAAGCAGAGGCAAAAGGATCTTTGTGAATTTAAGGCCAGTCTGGGTCTACATAGAGGGCTCCAGGCAAGCTAAGGCTATATAGTAAGGCCCTGTTCTCAAGAAGAATAATATTTTTTAAAAATATTGATAGCCATGAATGGCACTTTCAGATTGCTGTAAAATTGAAAGTTTTATCTTTAGAATACAGGTATTACTAAATATCAGCACTTTAAAACTGAGACTCAGACATCTTGAGAAATACCATATAAAAATAGCTAGAATAGTCTAAAGCAGAAATTAGTAAGTTTTCTTGTAAAGAACCCTAGTGGGCTGGAGAGTTGGCTCAGCACTTAAGAGCACTGTCTGCTCTTCTAGACATCCTGAGTTCAATTCCCAGCACACAGATGGTGGTTCGCAACCATCTATAAAGAGATCTGGTGCCCTCTTCTGGTAGGAAGGTATACATGCAGATAGAGCACTTACCTACAATTAATTCATTAATTAATTAAAGACCAAAAAAAAAAGAACCAAGTTAATGGGGTTGGAGAAATAGCTCAGGGGTTAAGAGCACTGGCTGCTCTTCCAGAGGACCTGGTTCAGTTCTCAGCACCCATGTGGTAGCTTACAACCATCTGTGACTCCCGTTCCAATAAATCTAATGCTCTCTTCTGGCCTCCTCTGGCTTCTTTAGGCACCAGGCATACATGTACATTTAGGCAAAACACCCATACACATAAAATAAAATAATAAATAATTATTAAACATTCTTAATAATCATTTTAGGCCTTACGTTTCTGTTAGAGAAAGTAAACTATGCCATTGTAGTACAAGAAAAAAATATGTAGAATATACTGAAGTATAGCCAAAGAATATATAAACAATGTGAGTTAAAAAAAAATCCAACTTTTTCTTAGAAAAATAGACAGTGAACTGTAATTTGCCAGTCGACTTCAGTTTTAAAAGTATATGTAGGAAATAGGCAGCAGAGCCAGCTCAGCAGTTCAGAACACATTCAACTCTTGTGGAGGATCTCTGTTGGAGTCTCTGCATGCAAGTCGGGGCTCACAACTTACCTGTAATCCCAGCTCCATGGGATCTAGCACTATTCTCTAGTGTCTTTGTGCACACGTGCGTGGTACATACGTATATAGATATATACACATAAGTAAATAAAATAAATACATCTTTTGAAATTTATTTTTATTTTGTTTTTTATATAACTTTAATTATTAAGAATGGTTTATTGAGTACACTGCAGTAGGCCATTGGACTAGACAGAAATTAGAATAATGCCTGCATCCAAAATTACTTTTTAAAATACACTGTTACAGAGGATGGAAATCATTTAGAACAATACAATGAGCAAACCTCTATGGTGTGTCTTAGTTTTCACTAAGTGATAAATTCGGAAGACAACTCAACCTTAAGCATCAACTATCACATATACTCTCAGAGATGCTAACACTGCTGTTTTGCAGTGATCATTTTGAAAACTGATTTTATCATTAATTAAAAAGTCTTTTTGGTTTTCTTTCTTTTTTTTAAGACAGGGTTTGTTTGTGTAGCCCTGGCTATCCTAGACTCTTTGTAGCCCAGACTGGCCTTGAACTCACAGAGATCTGCCTGCCTCTGCCTCCCAAGTGTGGGGATTAGGGGGGCTGTGCCACCACATCTGGCCTAATTAAAAACATTTTAATATGTTATTAACACATTTGGTAGCATAAACTTAGAATGTATTCTTAGGGGAGTATTGAATAAATTGATGATTTAAAGATTTCCTGATTGAACAGAAAATAATGACTAATAAATTTTTAATTATGTTTTTCTATCATTGATATGATAGAAATTTTTCTGTCTGATAGGAATTTCTGTCTGAAGTTTTGGGGTAGGGGGTCAGAGGGTTCAAGATAAGGTTTCTCTGTGTAGTCCTGACTGTCCTGGAGCTTGCGCTGTAGACCAGGCCTCAGAGACCCCCTGCCTTCCAAGTGCTGGGATCCAAGGCTTGTACCACCACTGCCCAGCTCCATCCTGAAATATTTTTAAGACTTTAAGAAAACTATATGTGTGTGTGAATGTACCAGCATATATGTATATATACTATGTATGTGCCTGGTGCCATCAGAGTCCTAAAGAAGGTGTCTAATCTCCTAGAAATAGAGTTACAAACAATTGTGAGCCACCACGTATGTGTTAGTCCTCCTAATTGCTGAGGCATCTCTCCAGTCTCCTGAATATTTTTCTTCTGTGAATATAACAGAGTGGCTGTAGATGTTAATTAAAATACTTAGTTATGGCCATGGTATGTGTAGTTCATCATTCAACTCATGTGAATACTTATTTTAGGCCAGCAAGGTAGTCAAGTCAGTGGGTAAAGGCGCTTGCTATGATCCTACCAACCTCAGTTTGCAGTATCCCAGAAGCTTCTTACCTTCTCTCAACCTCTTTCTTTACCTATAGGAATGACCATAATCTTGATTTTTTTTTCATGTAGTTCCTCTTTTTTTAAATTTATTTTTTCTTTATTAATTATACTTTATTCACTTTGTATCCCCCACCCCCACCCCGTGGTTCCCTTCCTCCTCCCATCCCAATCGCTCCCTTCCTCCACCCTCTGCATGCATGCCCCTCCCCAAGTCCACTGATAGGGGAGGACTTCTTTTCCTTCCTTCTGGTCCTAGTCAATTAGGTCTTATCAGGAGTGGCTGCATTGTCTTCTTCTGTGGCCTGGTAATGCTGCTTCCCCATCAGGGGGAGATAATTAAAGAGCAGGCCAATCAGTTCATGTCAGAGACAGTCCCTATTCCTATTGCAATGGAACCCACTTGGATACTGAACTGCCATGGGCTACATCTGTGTGGGGGTCTTAGGTTATCTCCATGCATAGTCCTTGGTTGGAATAGCAGTCTCAGGAAAGACCCCTGTGCTCAGATTTTTTGGTTCTGTTGCTCTCCTTGTGGAGTTCCTGTCCTCTCCAGATCTTACTGTTTCCTACTTCTTTCCTAAGATTCCCTGCACTCTGCCCAAAGGTTGCCCATAAGTCTCAGCATCTACTTTGATAGTCTGCAGGGCAGAGCTTTTCAGAGGTCCTCTGTGTCAGGCTCCTGACTTGTTCCCTCTTTTCTCCTCCTTCTGATGTCCAGCCTCTTTGCCTTTCTGGATAGGAATTGAGCATTTTAGCAAGAGTCCTCCCTCTTAATTAGTTTCTTTAGGTGTATAGATTTTAGGAGGTTTATCCTATATTATATGTCTATATGAGTGAGTATATACCGTGTGCATCTTTCTGCTTCTGGGATAGCTTACTCAGGATGATCTTTTCCAGATCCCACCTTTTACCTGCAAATTTCATGATTTCCTTGTTTTTTATTGTTGAGTAATATGCCATTGTGTAGATATACCACAATTTGTGCCTCCATTCCTCCATTATTGTTGAGTAATATTCCATTGTGTAGATATACCACAATTTGTGCCTCCATTCCCAGAGGGGCACCTGGGCTGTTTCCAGCTTCTGGCTATTCCAAATAAGGCTGCTACAAACATGGTTGAGCAAATGTTCTTATTGTGTACTTGAGAATCTTTTGGATATATGCCTAGGAATGGTATAGCTGGATCTTGAGGAAGTGCTATTCCTAGTTGTCTGAGAAAGCGCCAGATTGCTTTCCAGAGTGGTTGTACAAGTTTACATTCCCACCAGCAGTAGAGGAGGGTTCCCCTTTCTCCACAACCTCTCCAGCATGTGTTGTCTCTTGAGTTTTTGATCATAATCTTGATTTTTGTTGTTAGGTTTTCGTTTAATCATTTTTTTTGAGACAAGGTCTTATGTTTTATGTAGCATGGGCTGGCCTCACACTGTATAGCCAAAGATGGCCTTGGACTTCGGATTCTCCTACCTCTATCTCCCAGATGCTAGGATTATAGGTATGCATTACTATGCCTGTCTTTTTTTTTTTTTTTTTTTTTCTGACAAGATCCCTCTGCGTAGCCTAAGCTGTCAGCTTCCTGAGTGTTGGAATTACAGGTTTACATTTTCTTATTTTTTTATAGTTTTGTTACCTACATATGTACCTCTAAATAAAAGCTTGTTTTTTACCCATTTAAAAAAATTTATTTTTAGATAAAATCATACAGGTGAATTCTTTAGCACTTTGATACTGTATTTATTTTAACCATTCAAAATATGGCCAAGGTACATTGAAATTACAGATATGAAGCTTTGTTTCATCTTGCTTTCCAGAAAATGATTTCATTAATGACTTGTTACATGCTTGGTGCCCCTTTATGCTCTTTAACTGGATTTTCTACCATTCTGGACACTGTGACAGGGTCTCAGAGCAATGATGTTCAATGATAAAAGGAGCAACATGACTTTGCAGACTTCTCAATATTCCTGTATGATTCTCTATCACCTTATAAACGTTATAGTGACAGGGCTGGCTTTGTAGTACTTTTTTGTTATTTTATTTGCTTTTTAACATTCCTTTAAAATTATTTCGGTAGGTGTGTATATGAGATGTAAGTGAGGGTTCATGTGTGCCTTGGTGTGTATCTGTATCACAGTGTGAAAGTCAGAGGACAACTATTAGGAGCCTGTTCTCTCCTCTCATCTTTAGCTCCTGGGATCAAGCTCACTTGCTAAACACTGTCAGCTGCTAAATTATTTTGTCCACCCTTATTTGCATTTTTTGAGAAAGAGTCATACTCTATAACTCAAGCTGACTTAAAACTCATGACCATCCTTCTACTAAGTACTGGGAATATAGGCATGAGCCATATGCCTAGGTGGCTTTGTTATATAAGCATGGATGTTAATGTATTTATATAGTAGTTTTGTGTGTCTGTGTTCACACATACATAAGTGTGTGCTTGATTTTGACTACGGGAAACAATTCAATCATCAAAAATAGTTTTATAGAAATAATACTTTGTTTTTTTCAGGTGAAACTTCCACCAATGATGGAAATCATAACTGCGGAGCAGCTGATGGAATATTTAGGTCAGTGCGGAAGACTAGGTGATTTTGTATGTTTTTCAAAAATTAAATGAAGTTTTCAAAGCTGTTATTTTACTGGCGCTACTATATAATCTATTTTAAAATTATAGTTCTGAATCTGCTAATTAAAAATTTTACCACTATGTTACTATTCTTGGCTGTTACAACATTCTTCTGACCATCATTAGAATCCAGAACTATAAATAAGACTGGGAAAAATCCAGACACTAGCACAATTTACTGATTAATCTCAGTAAATTGCAGAATGAAAGATGATACAGAATTTTTGGCATTGTATGAGGAAAATACCTTTTTTAAATTTTTTCAGCTTGAATTAAAGTTGAAGGAGTTGGATTGGAGGTGTAGCTTAGTGGCAGAGTACTTCCCTGGCATGAGTAAGGTCCTAGGTTTAATCAGTAGAGCTGAAAACAACAACAACAACAACAACAACATACAAACCATACATACACACCAAAACAAACAGAAGATTCAAGGAGGTGATAGGAGATATGGCTAGCAAAGGATAATTTGTGGATCTGTGTCAATGTATAGTGTATTTCTTCTGAAACATAGTACAATATATAATCACTTCTTGTTGAAAGAAGCAATGTATTGAATTGCATTCTTTCCTGAGCTTCTTATCTTAAAACAGACTAGTAGGAGGGCTGGATAGCAGTTATGAGCACTAGCTCCTCTTCCAGAGGACCCCTGTTCAGTTCCTAGTACCAATGGTGTGTTTGCAACTCCAGTTTTAAGGGATCCTACGTTGTCTTCTACCTTCCATTGCCACCAGGCTTGTATATTGTACATGTACATACATATAGACACACTCATACACATATAATAAAAAATAAATATTTTAAAAAGTATAGTAATTCAGCCTATAGACTGTCTAATCATATTGAACTTGTCTAGAGAGAAGTAATTATACATTGTACTAAGCCTTTTGCAATTTGGCAGCTAACTTACATATTTATGTTATAACCAAATAAAGTATCTTTCCTCATATCTTTTTAGTATTTTTAGCGGTTAAATTTTTATTTAAAAAATACTGTCAGTCAAGGGCTAGGGAGATGTCTTAGTTGGTAAAGTGCCTATGCACATGCATGAAGACCAGACTGGACCCCAGTAGTCCTGTAGAAGTTGAATGCGGCAGCTCGTATCTATGCTGTGTGCAAGGTGGAAGCAAGAAAATCCTTGCTGCTTCTTGGTCAGCCATTTGGCCACCTGGTGAGCTCCAAATTCAGTGAGAGATCTTGTCTCAAAAAGTAAGGTGGCAGCTGGAGAGATGGGGTGGTGGCTAAGGGCATTGTGTTGCCGTTGCGGAGGGCGCAGAGTTCAGTTCCCACACCTATAGCAAGTGCCTCACAGCTGTCTACAACTCCACCTTCAGAGCTTCAACACCTCTGGCCTCTCACCTGTACTCACATGCACATGCCCCATACAGACACCAAACATACATGATTAAAAATAAATCCTAGCCGGGTGGTGGCACACACCTTTAATCCCAGCACTTGCGAGGTAGAGGCAGGCAAATCTCTGAGTTTGAGACCAGCCTAGTCTAGAGAGCAATTTCCAGGATAGCTAAGATTACACAGAGAGATCCTGTGTCACAAGACAAACAAACAAATATAGGGTAGTGATTGAGGAATATACCACATATCAAAGTCTGGCCTCCACATGTATACACACACATATATGTATACCCCCCCCACAAACACATACACATAATATTGAAGGCCACATTTGATGTTATGATGGTATATAACAGTAATCCCAAAACTTGGTAAGCGGAGGCATGAGTTTGAGGCCAGCATAGGCTAAAAAGCAAGACTAGATAGATAGATAGATAGATAGATAGATAGATAGATAGATAGATAGATAGATGATGGATGGAGAAAGGGGGAGCTTAAGTAATTGGAATTGGGGCTTTTAGAAAGTATATATATATGTATATTTCTTTTTTAATTTTATTTATTTTTTTGTATTAATTACAGTTTATTCACTTTGTAGCCCAGCTGTAGCCCCCTTCTTCATTCCCTCCCAATCCTCCCTCCCTTCTTCATCTCCTTCATGCCCCTCTTCAAGTATGTGGATAGGAGAAGTCCTCCTCCCCTTCCATCTGACTCTAGCCCATCAGGTCTCATCAGGACTTCCTGCATTGTCTTCCTCTGTGGCCTGGTAAAGCTGCTCCCCCATCAGGTGTAGTTGATCAAAGAGCCAGCAACTGAGTTCATGTCAGAGACAGTCCCTGTTCCCCTTACTAGGAAACCCACTTGGATACTGAGTATATTTTAGTAATCCATGATTACTAACTAGGGACCTCATAGTTAAAAGTAAATTACTCTGAATACTTAGATATATACAGGTAAAGGCTAGATTAGTGGATTTTAAGTAGCTAGGGTGATGCCGAGGAGAATATAAAGTGGGCAGAGAAATGGTAGATGGGATCAGAGTCCTTGCATTCAGATCAGGTAGGGCCCAACTGGCTGTTGTAAAGACTGACTTTTTGCTGTGAATGAGCTGTGACTTCAAGGAAGACACTAGACCCAGGACTGACATCTAGATTTCACAAAAAATGTTATAGCTATTACAACACAGTAGCATATTGTCATAGCTGAATGTTTCTCTTTAAAAAAAATACAATTCCAGAAACTAGAAAGACGGCTCAGTGGTTAAGAATAATATTGCTCTTCCAGGGGAATGAGTTGGGTTCCTAAAACTCATGTCAGTTAGCTCATAACCTCGTCTAACTCCAAAAGATCCAATACCTTCTCCTAAAATCCATGGGTACTTATACACATGGCAAATACTCACACTAACACATACATATGCATATAAATAAAAATAAAAAATGAATCTTTTTTTTTTTACTTAATTTAAGCTGGGCATGGTGGCACATGCCTTTAATCCCAGCACTCTGGAGAAGAGGTAGGTGGATCTCTGAGTTCAAGGCCAGCCTAATCTACAACAAGCTCCAGGACAGCCAAGGCTACACAAAGAAACCCTGTCTTGAAAAATAAAGGGCTTAAAGGAAGAAGTGGCATTCATAGCTGAAAAGCAGTCTACCAGAACAAAGGCAAATCTTCACAGCTGTGTGGGTTCAGCACCCAGCTCTCGATGATGGGCAAAAGTATTACTATAAAAACCAGGACAACCATATAGCATCACAATGCTATGCAAAAATGCTTCACGTCCAGAGCACAACAGGTTACAAAATGTGGCATTTTATCACAGGAAGGGGGGCAGGGTGGGGATCCATTCAGTCTCATCATCTGTCATAGGTCTAGTGTGCTTAGCTGTTTTACCACTAGTTATTACAAGATAAAGTTGGGAATCTATTCCATCCAAACAATTCACAACAGTGTTGCTCCAGTTAAACCTAGTAACAAGCACCAGTCTTCCATTGTCTCTTTCCAGCTTCTTCTACCTCATGGGTTACTAGGCTTGTCTCTGAGTTCTTAGGTGCTTTGGCTGTGTTCCTAAAATGGGCTCAGTGATTCTCCAGCCTTGGCCCGCCGCATCCTCGCAAGATAGGCATCTTCACAGTACCAGCATGACAGTGTTTAAGATTTCTTTTACCTCTCTTTTTATTCTTTTATCAGTAAATGTATTTACTTAGGAGGTGTTTGGAGGTATCATCGCTGGTCATCAATGTGGCTGCACTACATAAATATTAACATAGTATTTCACTTAGGACATCTTGGTATGTTAACTTAGCTAGTCAAACCCTCACAGAGTAGGACATATCACAGAGAATTTTAATAGAGAAAAAGAAAAAACATGAAGAAGAAATAGCTAGAGCTGAAGATGTGGCTCAGCAGGTAAATGTTCTTGCTGTGTAAGTCTGATGATCTGAGTTTAATCCTCAGAACCCACAGAAGAGAATCAATTTCTGAAAATTGGTCTCTAGCCTCTAGCCTCTGGCTACATGAGTCCTGTGGCATGTACACACACACACACACACACACACACACACACACACACTTATTAGTAAGAGGAAAGAAAAATCTGCATCCAAGGTAGCCATGGCCTTTCATGAGTGAAAGGACTTCACAACTAAGAACAGTAAAAAGTAATTCAGTATTGTAGAAAGAGAGGGAAAGGCAAGTAGGAGTAAAGTGAACAGAGTCCATGTAAAATTATCTACGTAGAGTCAGTCCTGTCACAACAAGTGGCTTAACATCCTAATCTAGTTGGGTTTTCTCCTCTTGAGATCACTCCAGTTCACTGGTGGAGCTAGAGATATTGTACTGTAAATTTGTGTGTGCACGGGCATATGCATGGTACAGTGACAGTGTATAGGTCAAAAAGGGTTCCATGGATCAAACCTAAGTCATAAGGTTTGTAGGGAAAAGTGCTTTTACCTGCTGAGCCATAGTGCCAGCCTAGGAGAGTATAATACTTCTGAGTTAAAAATGTGCAAACAGTAATAGGATTATAGAAGGAAAACATTAATTGTTTTCCTAACATCTAGGAGAGATACCTCAAAGAATGGAAATTTTGTGTGGTTTTGTCTATGTATACATGTACAAGGGACGCTTGAGTATATGCTGGAAGATAAACTCAGATATCATACATTCCTCAAGCACTGTCCTTTTTTGTTTGCTTTTGGGACTGAATCTTTCACTGGCTTCAAGCTTGCCAGGTAGGCTAGGCTAGCCAGTAAGGCTCAAAACTCCCCATCACTGTCTCCACAGTGCTGGGATAGCAAGCATGCACATAAGCTATTTCTTTATTTACTTAATTGATTTTGAGATAGAATCTTGCTATGTAAGCCAAGCTGTCCTCTAACTCAAAAATCTTTGGCCTCCAAATGCTAAGATTACAGGTATGCATTATCATACCTAACAAAGATGGGAATTTTAGTTGGTAAAGGTTAGAGGAAAAGCGAGTGAGTTTTGTTTTGAAAATCTCCTCTCCAGGTAGGAAGGGGCCAAACACATTGACTTGTTCAAGTATTTGGCATCGAGAAAGGAGCATAGCATGTTCAGATGCCTAGG